GATAGATAGATAGATAGATAGATAGATAGATAGATAGATAGATAGATGAATGAATAAATGAATAAATAAATGGGTGAGTGAATGAATGAATAAATAAATAAATAAATGAATAAATAAATAAATAAATAAATAAGAAAAAATAAAGAAAAAGGATGAGTTTGGGTTCTGAACTGTAACTTTTCTTTAAGTTTGAAATACTAAAAAATTTTTATTTGTTTGTTTGTTTATTTATTTATTTGAGACAGGGTGTCACTATATAGCCCCGGCTGCTCTTGAACTCAGAATCTGCTTGCCTCTGCTTCCCGAGTGCCGGGGTTACAGGCGCGTGCCACCCACCACACCCTGCCTGCCTTTTCACCTAAATGACTTCATGCCTAGGAAGTTCCTCTAAAGAAATAATTAGAAAACTTTCAAGAAAAATCACTTAGCTGTGTTACTATAGAGCAAATGAGAAAAACAGAAATCTGACAGCTGGTAACTGTAAAAACTGTAATGCAGCCACAAAAAAAAAATGACACAGTAAAAATTCTATTTATTTCTCTACCTACAGGTTCATGATGTGCTATGAGAGCGATCGAGGCTCTAGATCAACAGGTTAGCCTGTGGGTAAATGTGACTACTCCTGCTGTCAGGGCATCCCATCACAAAGGCATCGCCTTTAAAGTTAGAGACAAGACAAGAATCACCTCATTCAACATGACTTCAACATTCTACCTAAAATAATGAAAAAAAAATCACAGCAAAATTTACAAATGACACAGGTGACATAACATGCAGATAATTTATGAAACAACTCAAGCTATCAGGACTTAAGACTGTGCCAGTCTGTCCTGAAGGGTCAGATCTTGTCATCAGTAAAACAAAACCAGGCTGGGAGATGCCTGTGATCTTAGCACTTGGGAGACAAAAGTACAAGGATCAGGTGCAGAGGGATAGCCTGCCATGAGACCCTGTCTCAAATAGAGCAAAATCCAACCAAAGAGATGAACAAAACCACTCTCCATGTTAAGTTAGATAAAAACCAGGAACAGCAAACTCATTTAAAAATTACATTAGTAGGGTGTGTTGGCACAGGCAGGTAGATCTTTGAGTCTGAAGCCAGCCTGATCTACATAGTGAATTCCAAGACAACCAGGGCAATGTAGGGAGAGCCTGTCTCAAAAATAAACAAATAAAAAACATCACAAATCACCCCAGTAATGATGTAATCAAGACAAATGGACTGGGCGTAGCTCACTGGCACAGAGTCTGTCTAGCATGTCCAAAGCCTTGGGTTTGAGTGTTAGCACTGAACAAGGAAGCAAAGATTTCAACCTCTGTGCAGGTTTAACTGGCCTGAAACTTGCTATGTAGCCCATGCTTGCCTCCAACTGAGGCATGTTTTGAGGTAGAATTGTATTTTCTTCTCTTACTTGCCAGCCCTCCTCTATTCCTCCCTTTCTTCATGGCGATGGTGACAAAGCATAAACATAAGTGCTGTGCCGGGCTCCTAACACGTTGACCACCTTTGTACCTTAAATCTTCCACACAAAAATACTAGTTTCAGAAGACTTTTAAAGTCTTTTAATTATTGTGTGTGATGAAGGGGGGAGGGAGAGCATGCCATGGTGCGTGTGTTTGTCAACAGGTCAGAGAACTCGGCGGTCCATTCCCTTTTTCTACTTTTGCATGGGTTCTGGAGATCAAACTCTGGTCATGAGAGTTATGTAGTAAGTGCTGAGCCATCCTGTTGGTTCCAGTGAGAAACTATTAAACAGTTCATTGCCAGGTGTGGATTGCCTCTAATCCAAGTACTGTGGGCCAGCCAGGGTTATAAGCCAACCTCAAAAAAGAAAAGAAAAGGAAAAGCCCTCTCATGCTTTGACTGATGAACAGCAATATTGCTCATTATTAAACAAGAAAATGTTCAATCTTATATTAATTTTTAATTTTAATTCCATGTTTTGAGAAAGGGTCTTTGGCCCAGGCTGGCCTTGAATTTACTGTACAGCCTAGACTGGTCCTTAATACCTGATCCTCCTACCTCCACCTCCCAGGGGTCATTACAGTCAGCTCAGACTGATTTCTTTCTGTTGTTTTTTTGAGACAAGGTCTCTATAGCTCTGCTTGTCCTGAAACTCACTCTGTAGACTAGGCTGGCTTCTGAGCTCTGCCTGCCTCTGCCTCCCAGCGCTGGGATTAAAGGTGTACACCATCAAGCCTGGCTTCAGACTGATTTCTAATGGATCCACAGCCATGATGCCTAATATATATTCAGCAACAAAAAGTGACTGAGAGTCACATGTAGCGTGGGGTGAGACAGACAGCCATGCTCTGTATCTGTGAGGACTCTGGGGCACCCCACATGTCACCCAATATCACCGTCCATGTGATCATGACCCTTACAGAAAGCAGAATGACAACACTTTTATAGTTTTTATGCCTTTTATCTTGAAGACAAATTATGGGGGGGGGGGGACACATGGATACAGGAACCATTTAGAAATACATAATTTAGAAATATAAAATCTGAAAGAAAACACAAATAGCTGCAAACAGTTCCCAGAGCAAGGGAACATAAGTTCCATCCACACTTGACTGACTTCTGAATGCTGCAGCCAAGGCCTCTACTCCAAGAAGCTAAGACTAAAAGAACTGGAAAAAGCCCAGGTGGGGCAGCATGGGCACCTTGGTGGGACACAGACAAGGGAAGGCAGACAAGCTTGAGGCTAGCCTCCTAGTCACTGACTCTGTTGCAAAGGTGTGTTTTTCCCCCCCTTTAATCCTGGAACTTGGGTGGCAGAACTGGGGGGGGGGGCAATTTGTGTGTTCAAGACCAGCCTGCCTACACAGTGTGACAAGGAAGGAAGGAAGGGAGGAAGGGAGGGAGGGAGGGAGGGAGGGAGGAAGGAAGGAAGGAAGGAAGGAGAGAGGGAGGGAGGGAGGGAGGGAGGGAAAGACTAAGAAACAGCTGTCCTTGAGCACAATTTGTTAACTCTCTAAAACAAAGTATATTTTCCTTCTCAGTTTTGATATTCTATAGAAAGGAATTCCGATATTCTAATTAAATACCCAAATACTGAAGGACCTCTGTAAACAACTCCCCAAATGCCAATTTTTTTCCTAGGTAACTCTTCCCCACTCCCAGGTAATTCTTAAATCAAACATCTCTAAAGTGAAAGTTGTGTTTTGTGATACATGAATAATGCTAAACACAGTTCCTCTAAATTAAAGAACAAAAAAAAAAAAAAAAGATACTGTAAAATCCTAATCCTAGCTATGGTCTAGGGAAGAGAAGAAATATTACTTTTTACTGGCTGTCCTAATACTTGCTCTGTAAACTAGGCTGGCCTCCTGCCTCTGTCTCCAGAGTACTGGATTTAGCACTATCACTGCTCAGGGGCTTTTTACTTTTAAAACAAGGAGCCAGGCCTAGTGCAGTGCACCTTTAAACCTGGCATTTGAGAGGCAGAGGTATTTCTGAGTTTGAGAACAGCTTAGGCCATGAGGGAAACCCTGTTTCGGAAGAAAAAAAAAACAACAAACGAACAACAAAAAATAAAAAGTGTAAGTCTGCCCGAAAGTAGGTATAAAGACACTTTTAAAACAAGGAGCAGCTGGGTGGGGCAGTGCACGCCTGTAATCCTAGCACTCAGGGAGGCAAAGGTAGGTGGATCTATGTGAGTTCAAGGCCAGCCAAGGCTATACAGAGAAACCCTGTCTCAAAAAACTAAAACCAAAACAAAACAAAGCACAAAACAAATAAACAAACAAAAAACAAGGAGCAAAGAACAATAGCTTTCTGGAGTCCCCAGCACAAATAACATTTTAATACAAAGAGGAAATGGTATGGCCTAGAATCACTCAAGGAACAGAAAATTTCCTCTAAGGCAAAACCAAAGGCAAGGCACAAAATCATATACAAGTTGAAACACTGCTATTAATTTTTTTAATAAATTGTTACAATAAATTTTAGATTCTAAATATAGACCAAGCAGGTCTAACCTGTGACTTTCTGACACATGATCATCCCATGAAGGCTGAGAATGCAGCCTAACACATTTGTAGATGGCAATGTCAAAAGGCCGGTTCGCCTGATAAACACTGCAAACAGAAACTAGCAACAAGCTGTTATTAACATACAGACATGAGGTACACTACCGACTGGAACAGAACTAAGCCTCAGACTTACCTTAGCAGAAGTTCTTTGGGAAGTTTTTTATTGATTACAGCTTCATCACTGTTTGAGAACATCTGTAAAATAAAATTAATTTAAATTAAAAAAAAAAAACATTGCCATCAGTAGTTACCATTTTATCATGCTCATAATTCCCTCAGGAGAAAGGTTTAAAAAAAAAATAGTGGGGACCCAGCAAAATGGTGTAGGAGGTAAATGCTGCCAAGTGTGATGGTCTGAGTTCAATCCCTGGGAGCCACAAGGGAGGAGGGGAGAATCAATGGCTGAAAGTTGTCCCCTTACCTTCCTTACAGGCACCCACACGTAAAAACTCGGTGGGGACTAGAGAGGTGGCTCAGAGGGAACAGACAACTCACTCGATCTCAGGAACCACAGCCAGATAAAACTGCCCCAAGGTATGGTGGGACAATCCATCAGCTTCCTAAATACTATAGCCTTGTATCCAGTCCGGTGCCTCCAGGAACCTACGAACCTTAGAGTCTCCTCCCCTAAACTCAGAAGTTCCTTGACTCTGATCACAGAGGCACCTCCTCCCTGAAGTCGGTAACAGGGACCCTCTTTGCTGTTGGAGCTCCTAGCCCGGCGTTTCCAGCTGTGCTGTCTGGTATTGAAGGACATGATTAACCAAAATCCTCAGCAGTCTCTACTGAACACTCTTCCCAAATACTGGAATGTTGTCTGGGCTTGAACTCGTGGAGACCCGCCTGCCTCTGCTGGGATTAGAGGTGTGTGCCTCCAAGGCCAGTTCCTGTCCTTTTCCCTAAGGATATCCTACTGCAGATTTGAGCAGCAGTGTCTGGTTGTTTCTGTCGTTGCTAGCTCGTGATTTTGAGGTGCTACGGAAAACTCTGCATAGCTAAACTCACACAGATTTCCTCCTAAGCTTTAGTCTGGGAGCCTTGTAGGCTCTGCTCTCACACTTAGGACTATGATTTCATCTTTTTATCTAGAATGAAGAAAGAACCCAGGCATCCACTTGTACATGCAGATACTAACTAGTTCACCGTCACATATTTGACTTTTCCCCTTGGCTTCTTTTTCACAATCACTTGAATCAAAGTGAAAACATTGTTTCTGGATTCTCAATATGGTTCCCTTTAACTATATAAAATTTACATCAATTGCTTATTATTGATTATTGTAGCAATATAGTTACATTTTGAAATTAAGATCTTTAAGGGCCTCTATGCTTTTTCAAAGTAGTTTGAGCTATTCTAGACCTTGAATTTGGTTTATCAATTTGGGACTGACTTGTCAACTTCTGCAAAGATCACTGCTGAGAACTGTGACTAGTGAGTGTACCACACAGAATTGGGGGACACTGCTGTCCTAAAATGAATGAGTCTTCAAAATTAGAAACATTGATTATGTCATTTATTTCAGCTTACTTTGATTTTCCCAATAATTTTGATATTTTTCAGTGCATAAGCTTTTAATGTTTATTTCTAAAAGTGCTTTATTATTTTTTCAAATATATTTAATTTGTATGTACATTGGTGTTTTTGCCTGTATGAGAGTGTTGGATCCCCTGGAATAGGAGTTACAGACAGTTGTGAGCTGCCATGAGGGTGCTGGGAATTGAACTCATGACCTTTGGAAGAACAGACGGTGCTCTTAACCACTGAGCTATCTCTCCAGCCCGTTTTATTCTTTTTAATGTTATTACAAATGAATCAAATTTCATTCTACAATTACTCAAAATTAGTGTACAGAACACATCATCCTTCCATGCTTCTGTTTTCAACCAATCTGTGCCTTTGAGCCCCAAATGTATTTTTTCTACATAGCATAAAGTTCAACCTTATTATCTAATCTTAAAACCTTATGCCTTTCAGAAAACAAAACAAAACAACGAAAATAAAAACAAAACAGCATCTCACTATTGTAGCCTTGGCTGGCCTAGAATTCACAGGGATTCACGTGCTTGTCTCCTCAATGCTCGTATTAAAGGCAAGCCCAACCAACCCCAGCCACAACCTATGCCTTTTGACTAAGTATCTGAGTGGGCATGACTCCTACTTTACTTGCTTTCTGTATGTTTTATTTTATTCTTCCTAGCCCCCTGACTGCCATCTCTTGTGAGTGTTTTTTTTTTAAGATTTACTACCGTAATTCCCTGTTCTGCCTGCATGCCAGAAGAGGGCACCAGATCTCATTACAGATGGTTATGTGCCACCATGTGGGTACAGGGAATTGAACTCATGACCTCTAGAAGAGCATGCAGTGCTTCGAACACTGAGACATCTTTCCAGGGGCCTCTCCTGGGATTCTTTACAGAATGGTTTTCCTCCAGCAACGCTCTTGGGGGTAGTACCCGATTTTGTCGCTAGCTTCTAAGGAACTCATTGGTGAATGGGTGATTTTGCTTTTGTTTATTTTCTAGGATTTACCTGATTCTAAAAGTGGTAGGAAAAGACAACAAAGAAAACTGCGTCAGTGTGGGTACCACAACGGCAATCTGAACAAAGTCAGAGTCTCTTACAGTGGTGTTTGCTCTCTTGAGACATGGTTTCTGCGTAGCCTTGTCTGTCCTGGAACTCACTATTTAGTCCAGGCTGGCCTCGAACTCATAGCTATCCTCTGCCCAGCCTCCTGAGTGCTGGGATTAAAGGCCTGTACCACCTCAGCTGGCCCTTACAGTCTTTATTACCCTGTCTCTGTTTACTTCCTTCATATTCTGTTGTGACATTATAATGTCTCCGTTTTAAAGATTTACTTATTTATGTATATGAGGTTTTGCTGGTTTGTATGTCTGTACCACGAATGTCTAGTGCCTGTGGAGGTCAGAAGGGGAAGCATGGACCCCTGGAATCCTGGACTAGAGTTCTGGGCAGCTGTGGGTCACCAACTGCTCCTCTGCAAGCAAAGTCTTCTCTTTTTTTTTTGTCTTTTCTACAGACCAGGGTGATCTCAAACTCAATGATTCACTTCCCTCCGCTTTATAAATACAAAAGCCACCGCACCCAGAAAGTTTTCTTAACAGCTGAGCCATCTCTCTGTCCCCTAATTCTTCCATTAAAAAAAAAAAATTAAGTAATTTTTATAATCGTTGCTCTAGCAGTTCCAGTATTATCTTAGCTAGCCACCATCTATTTCAACTGCTCATTTCCCATAAAATACAGCACCTATACTACTAGAGAACTCATCTCTTCTTTGCTATTATAGATTTATCTGAAGAACCCCAAACTACAATTCTTAATTATGCAACTGCCTTTCAATTCAGTCAAGATAATAAAAGAACAATTTATTTATAGTCTTTTATATTTACCTCTGTAACTAACATTTATACTGTTTCTTTTTTCTCTTCGCATTACCATCTGGTACTGTATTCTTTAAGCTTGAACAATCTTTAATAGTTCATGTAAGGCAGATCAGCAAACAACAAATGTCTCAGTGCTTGCTTATTGCAGTTTTAGAAATTTGTGTTTTGGCTTGGGTTTTTAAAATGGAGTCTTGATGTATAGCCCGAAGCATCCTTGAATTCATACACATCAAGTCCTGAGTAGCAAGTATTTGGGTTCCCCGGGGAGACGGGATCCGTAGATACGTGTGTGTATCTATAGAACTAGATCACAAGATTCACACTGGGGATTGTCGGCTTGTAGAGATGGTGTCCAAAAGCCCAGGAGCCCTGACAACCGCGGGTAGAAAAGCGACGCCTTAGTTAAGGGGATGTGAGGGAAAAGGACCAGACAAACACCTCTCATCTAACTATCCACAACCCCCTAAGGTTGACGCATTAAATTAACCATCATAGATTTGTCAGCAGTTGGACACGGGGCCTTGCACACACAATACAGCATTCTTCACCTCCAGTCCTTTAAAAGCATTTATGTATGTGTATGAAGAGGTGGGTACCGCAGTAACACATGCAGAGGTCGGAGGACAATTTGCAGAAGTTGGTTATCGTCTCACCCTGTATGGGTTCCAGGGAAGGAACAAGTCCCCTTAGCTGCTAAGACATCCTGTCGGTCCTTGTTTTTTTATTTTTGAGACAGGGTCTCACTGATTTCTCCCAGCTAGCTTCTTGCCTCAGGCTCCTGACTAGCAGAGATTGTAGGGAATGTGTCACCACACCCATCCAATTTTTGTTTGTTTTGAGTTGTTCTTCTCTGTAGTCTATACTGTCCTTGAACTCTGTCGACAAGGATGGCCCTGAACACCTGACATCCCCCTGCTTCTGCCTCCAGATTGCTGGGATCAAAGGCATGTGCCACCATCACTCAAATGTTTTTTTGACACCAACTTTTTATTTTATATGCATTGGTGTTTTGCTTGCATATTTACCTGTGTGAGGGTGTCGGATCTCTAGGAACTGGAGCCACGGACAGTTGTGAACTGCCAAGTAGGTGCTGAGAGCAACTAGCAAGCGCTCCTAACCGATGAGCCAGCTCTCCAGCCCCCTTTATGCAGCTGTTTTGAGACACGGTTGGTTTCTGTGTAGCTCTGGCTGTCCTGAAGCTTGAAATGTAGACGAGGAAGGCCTTAAACTCAGAGACCTGCCTGTCTCTGCCTCCTGAATACTGGCTGGAATTAAAGGCGTGTACTACCATGCCCTGGCTCTTAAAATCACCCCCTACCCCCACTCCCACCCCAAAAGAGTTTCTCTGTGTAGCCCTGGTTGACCTGGAACTCACTCTGTAGGCCAGGCTGGCCTTGAACTCTGAGACCTGCCTGCCTCTGTCTTCCTGAGTGCTGGGATTAAAGGTGTGCACCACTGCTGCCTGCCTCTAACAAGCCCTTTTTAAATAAAATATTTATGTAACAAATCATTTTGAAGTGTGCATTTTAATGCACTTAAAGCTGCGGGGCTATTACCGTCTCTTAGTTCCAAATGTTCTTAGTCCCTCAGAACACTGTGTCCATCAAGCAGCCATTCTGCTGTTCCCTTAGATTCTAGAACAGCCACTAATCTTCTTCAGAATGTGAGTTTTCCAATGCCCCGTTATTTCATATAAAGGGAATTGAAATGTGGTGTTTCATGTATCACTGACCTCTTTTTTACAATAGTTCTAGAATTTATTTACACTGTAGCAGTACTTTGTTTCTTTTTTTA